TTAATGCATAACGTACTTTATGTTAATTAGTGAATATATCATCTAAATATTGATCGATAAATGGTTATACACAGGTAAAAAATATTAATTTACAATCGACGGCCACAAAAATATAAATCCCGCTTAACTTATCTACAGTTGCCATACCTAATCGAGTTCGTCGAATATGTAATCAGGAATTATAATATAGAGCAGTGTTTCCCAACTTCTTTTATCAACGGAACCTTTACAGGAGCTTGAACGTTTTATGGAAACCCAATATTTTTTCTATAATATTAATACAGACATATGTTTTGTTCACTTAAAAGAGTGGATTATCGGACACTTCAGGCACCAGAGTGTCATTAATATAAAAAAAACAAGACGGCTTTATCATTTTATTTTTTTTATTACTATTATAATATTATAAATGTACATATCAAAGCTTAAAATTTAATATTTGTCTCTCATTACTTCAAAGATAGATTCAATGAGAAGATTGGAATCTTTCCATAGTTTTATTCAAAACTGTTTTTAAATTTGGAGTTATTCCTGAAAGTTGGATTCGTAAGTCCGGAGCCGCGTTTAGTTGATTTCAAAACATATTCTTAATCTTTATATACGTCGAAAAACGGTTACCGGTGTTTTTCCCGAAGGTTATTGTTCTCAAAATGGAAACAAAAAAAAAATCAAAAGAACACAATATTAACAAAATTAACTTAAAATTAAGGACGGCCTGGCCCACCGGGATACTGGGACGTTTCCGATGGTCTCACATATTAGGATTTTTCATTGGCTTGACGGCCGTATTCCTTTTTTTTTTTTTAATAATTAGTTAGTTTTTTAAAAAAATTAAATAATTTATTTTTAAAAGAAGTTTTTGTACTTCAAAAGTTGTCTAAAACATAGTTAATAATATTTCAGAGAACAAAATCATATAAAATATAAATAATTAATTATAAGTTTTGATAAAAAAAAAAATATTAATATCCATATCAATAATATTATTATTTATAAGTAGGAAATAATCTACAGTCAAAAAATTAAAATTAAAAATTAAATTACAGATAGTATAATTATTAATAGTTTTTATAGCAATTTATTGGCCTGATATTTTAAACCTAAAATTTGTATGTATTCTAATTGGTTAATATCCCCTCTTTTACATTTATTCCATGTTTCTTGTACATATAAACTCTTTATTTTTTATTAGCAATAATATCATCCGTATCTGTCATCAGGTTTTTATCTCGCACAAGTAAAAATAATTTCATTCGCCCAAACAGTACACATGATAGTCACCCAAACGGGCTATTATTTTTTTGGTCAAAATTATTACCTTCGCCCAAATGACCACCGCCTATAGGGTCGACCGAAAACTAATAAAAAAAAATGCCTGAATAACCGATTATTTTATGAAAAAAAATATTATTTTATTTTAAATAGTGTTAGTTACGACTAAAAATAAAAATTATTCTGAATAATTTAACTTGTGAATAAATTTATTATTCTGAATAAATGAGTTAAAAAATTGTAAATATTGTTCACAATATAATAAAGCCCAATGTACGAGTACATAACGTGTCGATAGCTAATAGTTCTTAGCCAGTTATATTAACCCCTTATCTACAACAATATCATTTATGATTTTTTTTTTTTTTTATGACATTTTCAATAGCAGGTAATATGTTATGAATACGAAACACACCTATTTAAATTTTCATTAAAGTCAAAATTTAAATTTATCTACGAATCATTTGAGATAAACAAGATTATGTGGAATGATGAATAACCAAATAATGAATAAAAAACTCTGGAATAACCTATAGAATAACGAATAATTTTTTAGTCAACTAATCGAATACATTTTCATTCGACTAATACCCATCTTTGTTAGTGTTATACACAGTCCGATATTTATCGGCGAGTTTAAAGTGTTCAAGCGCAGAAATGTTTTCAATTTTTAGTTCAGTGTTTTTTTAATTCGCATTACAATAGACACACTTCGTCACACTGGAAAAATTAACAAAAATTAAAGAGACAAAAATGTATTATTATAACTATTTTTATTTATTACGAAGGGTATACTTACAATTAAATTCACTCGGCTGAAAGCGGAACAATAACATGGCGCTGTACAAATATAACTTGTCCCGCAAAAGTTAATGCTTCTGAACAAACATTGGTATGGCGAGTGAGAAAATTAACAAACATGATGGACACGACCAATCTGATGTGGAACGGAAATTGTATTTCTATCAACGTAAAAGCAAAGCGTATGCTATGGCGAATGAGAAAATAAACAAACATGATGGACATGACCAGCCTGAAGTGGAACGGAAATTGTATTTTATTAAATTCTATTAAAAGAAGAAAAAAAAAAGAGAAAAGAGAATCAGAAACCAAGTAAAATATTATGGACTAAGTATCTCAATCTAATAATGTAATTATTAATACCATTATTTGTTATCAATGATGATATTTAAATACCTGTACACCGAATAATGTATTACGTGCGTGGAAAATCATAACAGTCAACTCTTAAAACTTGAAAAACTACGACAACTTTTGTTGATCAACATAATTGAAGTATTGTATTATCAAACATAAAAAAAAAACACACACAGTTTTGAAACTGTGTATTATTATATTATTATAATGTACTTTGATTTTGTTTGAATAATGTTCATGCGTAATAAATGTATTAATATTATTGTTAAATTAATATTATTAATAATAATTACGTTTTTATAATATCGAAATAATTGATTACAAATAATAAAAGCAAAAATATTCAAAACACTAAACCTGCAATGCAATAATTGCCTAAGGGTTAATTTGCTATAGATAATGTACGAGTGAACCAATACCGTTTCCGTGCTTTGGATTTTTTTTTACGTATCTATTATGCGTAGTGACTAGCGTGTCGTAAATATTTTTAAAGTTCAAGTTTCCAAAAAAAAAAAATCCAACAGTCTATGTTCTTGGAACCAAGTAACTCGGTGCATGTCAAATATAGCTTCCTTAAAAATGTTATGGTCGATATTTCTATTGCATGCAGTTTGTAAGTTAAATCCAAAAGCGTAGTCGTCCGTAAACTATATTTACTTATACTGTATGTTACATCCGTTGAACCTCAACTTGATGGATAGTTTTAAAAATATATTAGCCACATTTATTTCGATTCTTATTGAAATTTAATAAGTTTATTTACAACGTGATTATTGTTTTATTCGAATGTTCCTAGTAGAGCTTTCAAGGTCCTGGTTTTTAAAAATAAACACTATTACCTCTATTTTGCTATGAGTTTTTTCTTTCTTTTGTTCACTTCTGTCATTAATAATTAATTAAAACTGTATTTTTATTTTGCAACTGTTACTATTAGTAGTACTAGTAGTTACTACTCTGTAGTTCAATTGCGAAAAATTCGAACAATTATTATTGTAAAATGTTTGTACAGTACAATTATTTCTACAATGTGTTCACACTGATATGAGAGTGCTGGTAACACTGCATTGAATATAGTCCAATAGACAGCCATTTACATGGAAGCAAAGGGAGTGCACCTTCTAATTTCCTGTAATCTGTGTTACGACTTTTTTTTTATCAAATTAATGAAAAAAGAATCGTTCGCATTAATGTAATAATTGAATACGTTCGTGTTCCTCGATTGAAAACTTTCTTTTCAAACATTGAATAACACTGATTTATCGATACTGTTGTCTCATTCATAATTCATATAGTGTACTCAAGAGTCCTACACCAAACTTTCTCTATAAAACTATTAGAATTAAGCACTAAAAATTATTAGAATAAATACAGAAAATGTTTATTTAAAAATCCATATTTATTTTCAATAAAAGATATATATATATAAATATAGCATCCCATATAAATCCATGTTAATAAAAATATATTTTTACTGTAAATAAGTGTTTAAAAATTGTATTATTTCAATTTGCGATTAAAATACTCGAGGCAATTACTGTTGGAATATTTTCTCTTTTATCTTTAGTTTAAGATAAAAATTTGATTTCCTGTTAATAAATACAAGAAAAATTATTTTAAATAATTATATATTATATTAAATTATTTTATTTAATTCTCAATAAGTAGAGTAATATAATTAGAAGTTAAGTATATAGTAATAATAAGTAATAATTAACATTAAATTGAATATATATATATATACATTATAATATATAATATATAATATATATATATATATAAATACGTATTATGATCTAATGAGTTAACTATTTTTTAATAACATAAAACCTAAAATATACACTACAATGATAAAATTTGACTTAAAAAACACACAAGCTTGAGAAGTAGACAAGCATTCACATTTAAAATACACTACTTGAATAAAAATATGTTCACATGTTAATACATAATACCTAAAATATGTATAGCTATTTATAAACTTATATTAGTTCAATATAAAATAACAAATATAACAAATAATACAAAAATTTTAAAACAATAATTACTAGTTATAAAAGTAAAATATAATGTAAAAAGTAAAATGGTTTACAACACAAAATTTAAATTTACATTTTCTAAAAAGTATATAAAAATCAAATAAAACATGACAAAATTCAAAGATTAATAATTTTAAATTTTATTTATTACATTCTGATTTATCTGACTACATCCTAGAGTAATTTTACTATTTTATATTGTAATGCAGAATAGTTAATACTATTTTAATTAAAAAAAAAATTATACTTTGTAATAAACAAACTAACTCCAAACCTGACAATAATGTCAATTGATTATATATTATACTTAGAATACACTCACTATAAATAATTTTTTAATCTCTAAGATTATTCAAGTTCTGTCTATATTTTAAATTGTGTTTGAATAAAATATCTTATTTATATCAATATATTATAATAATAATTTTCAGGATATTACATTATACTTATATACTTCCCATAAAAAAAAAAAATAAATAAATAAATAAAATGTATTATTTAAGCATATTTTAAGTATATTAGATCTTATAAAAACTTCGTGTGATGTATGGAATAATTTGATTTATTGGTTCAAAGCATATAAGTTGCGAAGAAAATCTTCTGGCGTAAGAATGTGTGATGAACCTAAATAAACCACATAAAATGTTGCATTTATAAAAACATTAAGTTATTTATGGAAAACAATTACCTATGATAACCTCCCAGTTTTTGAAATGATTAGTTACTTCATAAGCACATCTCATCTCAGAATAGGTAACTCCTCCAATCATAAATACAATTATTCTTGGCACATTTTTGATAAGCTGTTGTCCTTTACCTTTATCTTTATGCCAGTGTCCATATCTTGCACTAAAATTAATTCATAAACTTTAGACAACTGTTACAAGTATTATTTTCATAATGTTAAGAATTAATTTATATTTTTAATAGTTTTAATCGGAATGTAAGTTATTTTTATAAAGTTAAATTATAATTTATTCAGTATAACTTTTATCAAGCTAAGATTTATAAGATATATGATGAAAAAATAATAAATAATAAATAATAAAAATAATAAAATACAGTTGGGACAAATATTCCAACCAAAATATTATCATTAATTTTATTTTATAATTAGGTACAACATATTAAAATATTTAAAATAAATAAATACCTAGTTGGAGCGTGGTATCCTGAAGGAGCAGCTCTACCGGCTAAAAATGGAAAATGTTTAATATCCAATTTTTCTTCAATACAGTCTTCCATTAAGTCTTTGATCACAGGTGTCCAACGAGACATTTGATATGTTTCTTCAGTTGAACGTTCTTTACGTGGTATTTGATACGGTTTCTTTTTGATACTCTAAAAAAAAAAAAAAAATAGTAAAAATTAAGTTACTTTTTTAAACTAAACAATAATGATATAGATAATTTTACATCAACAACTGAGTTTATGCCAAGCAAATTTAAATTGATAATAGCTTTTCTATCAGTTAGTGACAGTTGAGCATGTTGAAGCAGTTTGTTAAGAATATCTGCTGATATTCCATTCTTGGACATAATGTACAGTAAGATAATCCTCATCTTGTCATAGTGAGATGTATTCTGATCCAACAAAATTGGCATAATGCACTTCATGGGATCTTTAATCTTTTCCCCTTCTGTATCTGTACCCATAGCTAGATCTTGTTCTACTTTACACAATTTGTGAACAAAACCCTGATAGCGTTTCATGCATTCTTCAGCTAGATGCAAATGAGTGGAATATTTAGTCAATTCTTTTTGATACTGAGGCATTTTCTTGATCATAGTTGACAAATCACTAATGGAAGATTTACTTCCATCAACAGTGGACATACGTTTAGAGTCTGTGAATTTCTTTAATTTCTGAGTAACATTTCTAAAACAAAATATAGTTGAAAAATCAACAATTCTTACTTTGATTACATTATAAATTATACTTAGACACAACAGCAATATGCAGATGCCTATGCTCTACCCAGAGTTCATCATTTTCATCCAATAACACTTCTTTTAGTGTAGCACCTGCTGTAGCCTCATATCTTTAAAGAAAATAATTAATTAAAATTTATATTTAAATATTAGACAGACATCACTTACCTATAAACATCATTTTCTATAGACAAAAGATCATGAGACATAGCTTGAAATGTGAGCTCATGTAAAATTGGAGTGATACAATCAAAGCCTCTATCAATTATAACCAACTGTGATCGTGCTTTTTCTGGACCTTCTCCCATTGTTGGTTCATCAGCTTTGTATGCATCCAATTTTTGTTGAATAATCTGAGCTAACTCAACATTATGTTCAAAATCACTTCTATATCGTACTGATGGATATTCTCCTAAAGTAGCACACACAGTAGCTATCTGTTCTGCTATGCGCTCCATATTAGAAATGCGATTATCCACTTGTAATGGATTATATAAACATTGAAATGTCTCACGTGAGTCTAGAGAAAATACCTAAAATATAAAAAGTTAAACTGATAAAGCAATAATTTTTAATATAATATTTAATTAAAATGTTTGATTAAGATTTAACTTTAATATATATAAATATTACAGTTACAAAGCATACCTGACGTTCATAAGGTAGAAAAGCAATATTAATTTCTTTGAGTGTTTTAATTTTTTTGGCAGCAATAGAATTGCATAATTCATTGAAAAGTTCTTCTTGACACACTTATGTTAAATATTTTTATTAAAAACACAGTGTTAGTATATTAAAATAAGGCAAAACTAATTAATTCATAACATAAGCTACATAATAGGTTAGTAATAATAGCTATAATCATAACAATTTAAAATTACTGCATTATAAGAGTAAATTAAACATAATAGATGATTATAATTCAAATAAAATACTAAAATTACTAAATAGTTTTATGGTACAAATATTTTTATATAAAGATATATGTTTTAGATAAAATATTTTATAGCTATAATATTAATGAAAGAAAAAAAAGTTACTACAATAAATTTCAATTCATCATTAAGTATTTTACCTTCAGTGAAATAAACATGAGCAGCTTTATACATAGGTTTTCCTAGACTTGAAAAATCCTTAATAAGAGCACCTACTGAATCCACACAAGGAGTAATCAAATAAATAGCTTCCATAGATGGTAAAGGCTCACGACTTTTGTTCAAATCTTCCACAACTGAAATACACACATTAATTTATATACTTGTAACAGAAATTAATACACTGAAATATTATTGATACAGTTTGTAATTAAAAATAAGAGTATTGTATTAATTCTACTAATAATTAATGCATTTTTATTGTCAAATATCAATATCACAAATTAAATCATTATTACTTTGACATTTTCATAATTCAATAGATTGAATAATGTATTTAATTATATAACAATTGTATTGGTTTTTCAAAAATATTTGACATAGTATGAATGTAGGTATTTCATTTAAAATAATTAAAACTATTTATCAATAAAATGTTTGCCAATTTCAAGCACAATCGATGAAAAAACTATTTATAAAGCATTTCACATTCATCGATAATTATGATTAAGAAATAATCCATGAATATCTTACAAAGAACAGATTTCTGTATAGTACTATATAATACATATATGATTGTAATCTCTAAAGAGTAATCGAGTAAATTTTTGATTAGATTGGTAAACAAACTGTCAGCGGACTGAAATAATGAATGTAAAGAGTATTAAAATCGAAACAAAGTATCATAAAGATATCAAACCTAACGGATTTTTGTTGAACAATAACAAAGAATACGCGGGCGATAAGTCGCGATGAGAATTTGACAATCGAAAAACAGATAAGTGGCTATAATGTGTCTAATCAATACTCACGCGTTACCCGTTCGTCGGACAACTCGTGCATCTTGCAACAAGACGATATCATTCTCATGGCCAACTTGTCGACGATCAGAACGCGCCATTCCACCAGTTTGTCAGACGTTTTTTTCGCGTCCTTCTGCCTGATGACCTCGCTCATAATTTCTGTGGAACCGACAAGGCAATCGTTTTACATGCGCGCAACAACAACATAATATACGTGCGACGCTTACTTTGTCCGACGAAAACTTTGAGCGCCATCGTTGATACCGTCACGAATACCCCTGTGTGTGATCACTAGTGCAACGACGACAAAAATACAACAGGTAAGTCGTGTGCAGCTGACGACGGCCGTACGAATGAACGGGTGTGCAGAACGGCGACCGAACGCGGATGGAAATCGATGCAGCAGCGGTGGCGCGGAGAATAAGGACGAAGGACGTCGGGCAAGGATTAATGCGCAGATACGTTTTTAAAAATCGATATTGCTCCGGGTTTCTCTGATAACAGCAGCAACAGCGCGCGGCCCTCAAGACGAAAATCGATAACTCGGCGGTGGCGGCGGCTGCTACGGGTAGTGTGACCAATATGGACGGCGCGAAATTTATCCGGTGGAGGTCCGACCACCGGAGATCGCGAATCGTGCGAGCCGATGACGTCACGTCTCGTGTGCCCTTCCCCTTCCCGTAATTCGCGACCGCGGCCACGGACATGACGCGCGGAAATGGCGTACGGACATCCGGCCGGGAGATAGCAGCAATCCGATGGCGGCAAGTCTTTTTTTTCATTTTTCTTACATTTCGTATTAAATAATGTTCACGCAATGCAATTCCAATCATACCGCGTACTATTCAGCGCATGATCTTAACCATAGGCGAACCTAAACACTTTTATTAGGTCAGGCCAAATGAAAAATATAAAAAGTATTATTACGTGTAATTAACTATTACCTATAATATAATAATAAAAATATACGTCAAATGTCTAAATTAAACAATAACTAATAAAACCGATTATTCGAATATATAGAATAGACTTATGTTCTATTATAATCCTTATTTGTACCAATTGTACCTATATACTATATTATATGAAACGTACAAATGTATACGTTTACATGTATAAATATATTATTTATAATGTCTAAATAATTGTTAAAATATATAATATATACATATTTTTCGTTAGTATTACGTCAGGCTATGGCCTGACTGGCCTGACCCGTAGTTTCGCTTATAATCCTAACGAAAAAACTCCCATCGTGTTTTGACACACCGCCGTATAAAAACAACAGAATATATTTTAAGTAATTTTTACTGGGCAGCACTTCAATAAAATAGTCTACTAGAGAAACGTACAGAAAAAATGTGTGTGTGTGTGTGTGTGTGTATGTGTGTGTGAGTATAAAGTGCATTTTTTAAAGAATTTTCACTGGGTGATTTTTGTCTCAAAATAGTCAATGTGTAATATAATGTATAGTATAATGGTACTATTTCATTTTCGATCTGTTTACTTATTAAAAATATATCTTAATGCTGCCAGCATTTGTTTAGCATTATGCTGGTAAAGAAATAATAAACGTCGGTAATATAACAATATATTGTATTATACACACAAGGCGCCAAAATCAGAAGAACGCGTGCTCGGCGTCAAAATTAGAATTAAATTTGATCAATTATTGGGGACGTAAATTATCTATTATAGATAAAAAAAAATGCACGAGGTGATTCAATATAAATTTGATTATTATTACAATTATCATTATTTATTATTCTATCGATATGTAATGATTAGCGGCGTATTTAGGTACAATACAGTTTTATAAACTATTATTATATTATTACAAGTATTATTATGTTTGTTCTCTGAATGATTTACAAATATGTGGTAAATATGCATGTTTGAAAAATTATTTGAGCATTTATGATTATAAATGAGGTTTAAGTTATAATATGAATGATGAGACCCCACTGGTTCTCAAAATTTTGCCTGTTAAAGTCGTTTATGGTGGAGGGTTGCCAAAATAATTCTTGCACTGAGCACTGAAAGAGCTAAATTTGGCCCTGTATACACAAATTTATGTATCGTACATTACATAATTAATTATTTACAAAATTTAAAAAGAAATCTTATTTTAACAATTAATTGTGTTTCGCCCCGTCTTTCGAAATATTAGACAACAAAATACTTCCACCGGCCGACATTTATGTCATCTAGTTAAAAAGTTAAAAACTTATTTAAACAATATTTTAAATGCTTTTTATTGCTACTGAATACTATTTTATTGAATAATTTTTTTGATTTCTTATTATATTTTTAAACTGGCTTTGTTTAAATTTATAAAATTTATCATTTATTAAATCTTGAGAAAGTGTTCATTATAGATTGTACCACAACAATTAAAAAAAGAAAATATATGACATATACTCATTTTGAGCAAATCATCTTCTTAAAATGAAATAGTCAAATTTTAATTTTAATAAAATATAAAGAATTTCTTAAGAACATTGAATTTTTTTTTTTTGTATTTGAAAATGTTGATTTTTTAAAGGGCTTTTGTATACTTCCTGCGCGTGTTCCCATGTTGAAACGGAAGTCCGGCGTTTCCTATTCACGTGATCGTATTCGAATTGGCTGCGAAACCATGGATCACTGATGTTGCACGGTGATGCTGTGTTTTCAGTGTATCCGGTTCGACGGCCGTCATCACGCACAGTGTTGCCAACCCGATTAGTGTAGCGCACGAATCGCCTTGATTACAAAAATCGCGACCGGAAAACGAGACACGAGAGGCCGTGTATCGCTTGGCGGTGAACGGTCAATAAACTACAACAGATAACGATTGGAGAGTTCGTCGCGATGTCCAAACGGATATTTCGTCGACCGAATCGCGACGATCGGCACATATATCGCGTGCGCCCGCCTCCGATCGGTATCCCTTACCCCCAACGCTTACGACAGGGTAGTCGACTGTGTCACCTTCTCCGAGCCGGTTATGTAGTCGTCGCGCAGCCAGACACGACCCTCATTCCTCGCCTGTCACTCCTCGAATTTGTTACCTGTAATCCTGTGTTACCGCGTCTGGTCAAAATCTCGTGCGTTCGAATGGACGTGTATGAAATAATGAAACGACATCCACGCGTGAAGGAATTCCTGCCTCTGCGGCGAGTCTTTTGCTGCGTCCTGTCCTGCGATTCCTACAGCGTCGTGTACGAAGGCTTGGACGGTCCGCGCAAAGTCGCCGGAGTGGATATGTACAGGTATAATGTTGCACGCGTTATTTTAGCGGTAAAACTGCGCGAAGCGCCAAAATGATGGCGTTTCAAGACCGTCTGTACGGGGAAGGGGAGGGGAGGGTGTTATAATCCCCCTCCCCCATTGAGGATATTTTTACGTACATTTTTACAACAGTCCTCGTTCTATAAAAATTAAGTTTACTTGAAAATGCATTTTTGTATAAAAATCCAATATTCTCGATTTAACATAATTTTCTATTTAATGTTTGGGCACTTTCCATCGACTGTCGATTACCATTGTAAGTGCAGCCATAGATAGAACGTATTTTCATTGATATGTCAACCGTTCCATTTATTCAGACATTTGTTGACATTTATTGATTTTCGATCTTAATATTTTTGATCATGGGTATTACAACGTTTATTTTTTTTATTGACTTTTTACCTAACATCACATGTATAATTTTGAACCAATCCCTTGGAAGATTCTTACGCACGGGCCTGTGGCAGTTAATCTATTAAATGGTCTAGAAATACCACTTGTGTGCGTCACATTGTTTTCGGTTTCGGTAAACCGATAAGATAGATTAAAATTGAGTTTGTCGTACAAGGAGTTAAAATGTTTGTCATGATAATATGCTTCAAAATCTATTCAATGTCTATGTGTATTTATCGTTATTATTGTTCAATTTTCATTAAATTAAAAATTAACCATAATTTTTCTTTGATTATTAGTGCATACGACCTAACCATATGCATTACACCTGTACGGGATCGAGATTTACCGGGGGCAACATTACGGTATTTCTAACGTTTAAACGATCGATTCAGTGGCACCATACACGTACCTGAAGGTAGTTCAATTGAACTACCTAGAAAATTGGAATGTTATGAAATAATAAAAATGATCATTAGAAAATTTTAATTAATTTTTTTATATATTAATTGACAAGTATTTTCTATTTAAAATAGTATATTTAATAATTAAATATTATATAAAATCTTGAATCATTAAAGATGTTTAAAAAAAATGTTTTGGTTTTTGAGTGGGTGGATGGGTAAATCTAATTATTTGAAATGACAGTTTCAATTTTATTCGGCACCACTGAATTGATTGTTGCTGATCGTCACAGTTTTCTGTGAAACGTTTGTTTTACTAGTTTCCTTTTGGCGTAAGTGACAGTAACTGTCATTTTTTAATTGTTAGTGAAAATTAATTAATGCAACAGCAATCAAACAGCGTTCGACTATAACATTAATAACATTAATATTAGTTCATCGTGTTGTTGTTTTATAGATTCCCAGAGTCCAAATATATGATGAATGAATGGTACAACTTCAATAAAAGAGCTTTTTCGGAAGTGGTGCCATTTGTAGATAATTTAGTTTGTGCACACCATTTCAGGTCGAATGATTTTATGTACTTCTATCATAAAACTAAAAAGACATTGCTTAAAAAAATGTTGAGAGAGAACGCGGTGCCTAGTGTTTTCTACGACATCGAGGAGTAAGTTAAAAAAATTTTATAACATTAAACCGTACGTTATTAAAAATCATTTTTTTTTTTTTTATATATATATAAATTAATAAGGATATTTGACGATTTTAACAAATATGATCTTTCCATTTCTGGCTTGAGCAATGGTTTTTAAGTCATATCGGAAAATACATGGATTACGTTCACAAGAAAACTCCACTGCAACGCAAAAGTTGGCGTTATTAATAATCAAATTGTGCGTTAAAATTAATAATTTGAACTTTTTAGTTTATTTTAAAAATTACAACCGTGTAAACTACGTTGAGTTAATTAACTATTACTATAATTTAATGTTCATATAAATATATTTTATTAGCATTCATATTGTTGTTGTTTTTTTCCTCAACTGTAAAATGTCTTATAATAACTTTTTGAATGGTAAAAAAGTATACAATATTTTTTATGTTATTAAATTTGATTGGCTAATCAAATTAAAAAATTTAAAAGTATTTTTACTGTATCGGGTAAATAATTTATTAAACATATAA